GCCTCAGTGTGAATGCGAGACGTGTTGTTATGAATAGACACGGGGAATGCGTATCGACATCTGAAGCTCTGTCATCATTACTTTCAAGGATGCAACATGCAGATGGATATCAACGTAAGTCTTAACCGGTTTACGTCATGAAGAAAACGAACATTTCATTGGAATAGGAGAATAGGCCTTTGCAACCTTAACACATAGTGGAGTAATGGAAACCCATTCAAATCGGTGTTCTCATGTACGGTCAAGGGGAGGTAAGTCCAATTCCAACACTGAAACTGAAACATGAACCCGTAAAATATTCATATCCCACCTGAATTCGAAAAGGAAAAAAAACGTACTGTGGAGAATGCGTTGAGAAAAATCAAAACACGACAGGAACGTTCTTGCATACAGGTTTCCCCAGTCCCCACGCCTCAACACATGACGTGTTTCCTTGGTCTCCACGCCTCAACACATGACGTGTTTCCACAGTCCCCACGCCTCAACACATGACGTGTTCCCTCGGTCTACACGCCTCAACACATGACGTGTTCCCTCAGTCTCCATGCCTCAATACATGACGTGTTTCCTTAGTCTCCACGCCTCAACACATGACGTGTTTCCTTAGTCCCCACGCCTCAACACATGACGTGTTCCTTCAGTCCCCACGCCTCAACACATGACGTGTTCCCTCAGTCCCCACGCCTCAACACATGACGTGTTCCCTCAGTCTCCATGCCTCAATACATGACATGTTCCCTCAGTCCCCACGCCTCAACACATGACGTGTTCCCTCAGTCTCCATGCCTCAATACATGACGTGTTTCCTTAGTCTCCACGCCTCAACACATGACGTGTTTCCTTAGTCCCCACGCCTCAACACATGACGTGTTCCCTCAGTCCCCACGCCTCAACACATGACGTGTTCCCTCAGTCCCCACGCCTCAAAACATGACGTGTTTCCTCAGTCCCCACGCCTCAACACATGACGTGTTCCCTCAGTCTCCATGCCTCAATACATGACGTGTTTCCTCAGTCGCCACGCCTCAACACATGACGTGTTTCCTCAGTCCCCACGCCTCAACACATGACGTGTTCCTCAGTCTCCATGCCTCAACACATGACGTATTTCCTTGGTCTCCACGCTTCAACACATGACGTGTTTCCTTAGTCTCCACGCCTCAACACATGACGTGTTTCCTTGGTCTCCACGCCTCAACACATGACGTGTTTCCTCAGTCTCCACGCCTCAACACATGACGTGTTTCCTCAGTCCCCACACCTCAACACATGACGTGTTTCCTTAGTCTCCACGCCTCGACACATGACGTGTTTCCTTGGTCTCCACGCCTCAACACATGACGTGTTTCCTCGGTCTCCACGCCTCAACACATGACGTGTTTCCTCAGTCCCCACGCCTCAACACATGACGTGTTCCCTCAGTCCCCATGCCTCAACACATGACGTATTTCCTTGGTCTCCACGCTTCAACACATGACGTGTTTCCTTAGTCTCCACGCCTCAACACATGACGTGTTTCCTCAGTCTCCATGCCTCAACACATGACGTGTTTCCTCAGTCCCCATGCCTCGACACATGACGTGTTTCCCTAGTCCCCACGCCTCGACACATGACGTGTTTCCTTAGTCCCCACGCCTCAATACATGACGTGTTTCCTTAGTCCCCTCGCCTCGACACATGACGTGTTTCCTCAGTCTCCATGCCTCAACACATGACGTGTTCCCTTGGTCTCAACGCCTCAAAACATGAGGTGTTTCCTCAGTCTCCACGCCTCAACACATGTCGTGTTTCCTTAGTCCCCACGCCTCAACAAATGACGTGTTTCCTTAGAGCCCACGCTTGTTACGTAATTATTACGTTGTCCGTAGAATTACTTTTCGGAGAAATACCCGATTCACTGTGGTCGTACTGACACATTTCAAGTCCGTGACAGTCGGGAGCTCACGTTTAGAGATATATGGTTTCCTCTGGTCCTGATTCAGAGTGAGTGAGTGAGTATGCTTTTACGCCGCTTTTTGCAATATTCCAGCAGTATCTCGGCGGGGGACACCAGAAATGGGCTTCACACATTTTACCCATGTCGGGAATCGAACCCGGTCCTTCGGCGTGACGAGCGAACGCTTTAACCACTAGGCTACCCCACCGCCCCTCTTGATTCAGAAGAGTGAAATATTCACAAGAGCTTTTGGTAAACACCACCCGATTTTTCGGATATTTGCCACATTAAAAAATGACTGGCGTGATTTTTTGGTGGACGCCTGGTACTCCCATCACACAATTTATGAAGCTGACACTAGTCGTGGATGCTGATTTATCGACGTTATGCAAAGAAGTCTGAAACGTTCATTGCTACAATGCTGAAAATTATGAGCACCCAGCCCACACCACGATCCGGACTGTCACATCCTGCAGTGATTTTCAACCTTGGAGTCACCACTGACACTGCAGTCAGTATCAGGAGTATTCACTCCTCTGACGAATCACACATGCGAGGCGTCTCCTCATGCTACTTATCAGACGTCTGATTCTCAACACTTGCATCCTCTGCCATTCAGTTCATTCAGATTTTGAACAGTTCGTTCTAGACCGATTCTACTGCCATTATTCCCAGTGATTCTCATGATGTCAATCACTGGATTGTCTGGTCCAGACTCAATTATTTACAGACCCCCGTCATATTGCTGGAACTTTGCTGAGTGCGGCGTTAAACAGCAAACAAACAAACAAACAAACAAACAATTCACCACCTCAGGCCTTCCTTTAACATAAAGCTGACAACCTCTGATTGATTCCTCACATTGCTCTCCTTCTCTGTCGTTGTACACACAGGAATGGTAGTAAGTCACACTTCAAGTTAATATGGAGTGTAAGATCGCAAACTATTTCAGTTTGCCCATGATCTGACGATCATTTCATTCGCGAGAAAACAACTTGATATTGAATTAAAGCCCATGTAATATATCCCAATAACAGCTATATAGCCTAGACAACAGAAACCGATAGCTTCGATGAAATAGTGGAATCATAATTAAATTATGACATTGTTTAAATACTCAATTTTTATATAGATATAGCAGCTCAATTTGTTCCGATATGTTAACGGAATCGGAATCGTAAAGGTTTGGGGCGAGTTGATTCTACTTTCTGAATCAACAGATTCCATTGATTTCTCCGAGTTAAACATGTATTGGTCGATATACAATTTCTTTCTATATTTGCATAATTTCTCAAAATCACCAGTGAATTCCTGTCTCAGAATCAACTGCGACAACAACAACGTGGAGTTATCGTCGTGGTTTGAAGCCAGAGAATTAATCAACTGTGTCATTTTGATTTACCAAAACAATTCAAGTATCGATTTTTGTAGTTGAAAATATCACTGTTTTCATATGCCAATGTCACTGATTGGTTAAAAAATACATTTTTAGTTTGAAACAATGGGCAAAGCACCAGTAATATCCTTGATTAGAATAAGTAAAGTAGGTGCGACTCTATGCGACACCAATACATTTGCGGAAATAGGGCCTGTTTCATGGGCCATTGGCCTCCATCAGATAAACGACCCGTGAAGATTCCGGGGTAGAATAGGTCTTCAGCAACCCATGCTTACCGTAAATGGTGACTATGCTTGTCGTAAAAGGCGACTAACGGGATCGGGTGGTCAGGCTCGCTGACTTGGTTGATTCATGTCATCGATCCCAATTGCGTGGATCGATGCTCATATCAATCACTGGATTGTCTGGTCCAGACTCGATTATTTACAGACCGCCGTCATATAGCTGGACTATTGCTGAGTGCGGCGTTAAACAACAAACCAACCAATCCATCAGATAAACTAATCTGCAGAGGCCTTATTCATAAAGCTTCATAGAGTGCTTCAAGGTCTTAAGTCGTTTTTTCTTACATGTAGATCCAAAGAATTATTTTGGGCAACTGAAGATTATGTTTAGAATAAGGGGAGACTGCGACCCAAACAGCTCATTGTAAAAAGGGGTTTACTATCAGATACAATGGATTTCTCATCCAATACCAATATGTACTCACATACATGGTCGAAGGGAGGAAACTCAATTGTTTGGCATGAAATTGAAGGAAGCAACTCTAAAATCTCCTGCCAGTTGAAATGTTATATCTGTCGCCATTACTATTGCTGGGCGATATTTAAGTCTGTATATCATCATGATTGAACATTTAAACCCATTTCTTCAATCACTCTATGATAAGTTAATCATCACACACACCATAGATTTATCATTTACCTTCATTTCCTGACTCTTTTACGATGTATATGCTCTGTACCGAAACTTGGCACTTCAGGAACATGGAAGCTTAAGCTGAAAACCCTATCTTCATCGAGGTTCCTTGTCGCAGGCTGCAATACCTTTTCAAGGCATTGACGTACAATTTAAACGCATATCAGGTGACTCTGGTCGACTTTTGAGGGCAAGCAGAACCAGAAAAACGAAATTTTGACACATTGTGGAAAGAGGATCTAAGAGGAAAGCACATGGAGATAATAAAGAAACTCACCTTGAAGTCATATAAAAGGGGGTCTTACCATTGACCTATTTCAAGTCATAAAACATTAAAACAGGTTCAAATCAGTTCTAAAATCACTTGAAGTTTAAAACAAATATATATCTTCTGACATACAGGCTCGGGCAAAATGGAACCGGATACTGTATTGTAAATTGTCAAACAAGCAAAAGCATTCTTCACGGGTAACTCGTTTCTTAAATGTAAGTTTTCTTTATTAGAATTACAATCTGCGACGTTACAAAGTTTTAGTCATGGTCAAGGGGAGACAATTCAATCGAGTTTATTCCATGGGGTAAAATTTGTGGTCAAAGGGAATTCAGCTTGTTAATTAGACTGTGCTAAGTCGCGCTAAACATGCAGAACTGGGAATGGAATTCGAGTAGGTCACGAATGTATGGAGCCAGTTGACTTGGTTAATGTCCAACGGAGTTACGGCCCTTGTACAAGTTCCCGTTAGGACCTACATGCAAATTTCAGACACTCCTTTGTACTTCATTCTCTGTCATTCTAACGGTGCGACGAAGGTCAAGACAACAGTCTGATATCATCTGTCAAGCTCCATTACAACTTATCATGTAATTGGTACAGTCCGATCAAACAAACAAGAAGGTAAATTCATCTGGGAAATGAGGTCAGTCGGAAATCTTTTCTGATGGCATTCCCAAAGACATAAACAGAAGTTTAAACCTTACTACATTTGGGGTTAGAGGGAAAAATTCAAAATTCATGTAATGGCCCGCCCACACTGGAGGCAGCGCAAGCACGATAACATCGCTGCAGTGTGGGCGCGGCCATTACAAGAATCTTGAAATTTGCCCGCACCATACCGTGCTCGTGGGTTTCACCGAAGTGATAAACGTCTGAGACCTGCAGCATTTCATGCTTTCTTCCGAAATTAAGCTGACACGCCGCGATATAACTGCAATACTGTTAAAAACGGCGTTAAACACAACTCACTCATTTCTTATTAGCATATCGTAACACAATTATCTCCCTTAGACCATAAACTGCATTGATGGCGCGGCACGGCTTGCAGCCTTCACAACACATCGCGCTGGCGGGGTAATCTTTCTATAGAAACGTCTCGTGTTCACTTCAGTGTTGATTCATTGTTCGTTATTTGTGTACGCCTATTAGGATCATTAGGACATTTTATGTCACACACAGACCTTCCGGAATATCCTTAGCGTCTGATGCCTTGTTTCAGACTGATCAATCTTTCAGAATATCATTGTGGTACAGTGAATATCAGATAGTTACCTTTCTAACCAAAAACATTTTGGTTGCGTGGATCGATGCTCATGATATCAATCACTGGATTGTCTGGTCCAGACTCGATTATTTACACAGACCGCCGTCATATAGCTGGAATATTGCCGAGTGCGGCGTTAAACAACAAACAAACAAACAAAAACATTTTGGCATAATCCAATATAACATTAGATTACAACTTGACGTCCCAGTATGCATTTTACAATGGCAAGTAATGTGCAGAGGACATGATGTATAGTTTATGATTTACCTATCTAAAGCCATGCAGTTAGTAGCAGTAAGGGAGTCTTTACTTATTTTTGTGTTTCTCATCTCCAAGGTTTTCCCAGAAATGGGCGGTCGGATAAAAAAAAGGGAACAAAAAAAGGCTGCTTATTGCAGAATACCCATTCAGGGTTTAGACGATCCATGCCAAATATTTGACAATTTAAGTGTATTGAGAGCAAGCTGGACCCCAAAACCGAAATTTATACACATTGTGGCAAAAGATCAATGCATTGATTAAATTAAAATATGAAGAAGCACGCACGGTATGATTTGCTACTCTATCGTATACACGTGTGTATGAAGAATGAAATGACAAAATATACGTGGAAATAGATTGAATCACTGTAAATGTTACTAAATTGGCTCATTGCAAATGAAGCAGGTGCAAAGGTTGATGAAGGGTAGATTAAACAGTCTGTGTGGGTTGGAGTCAAGCTTTTGGCGGTACAAAAGTCCAAAAAGTCCAACTCTCTTATCTCTGAGAGAATCACCGAAGGTAGTAGTCAGGAGGTTTTCTAAAGTAGTAGTAGTAGTAGCAGTAGTAGTAGTAGTAGTAGTAGTAGTAGTAGTAACTTATGTCTACTTAAACGACCAAGGTTGCACCAACCCCGAACTTCACAAATAACAGAGATTGTGTGTGATTGCAATTGTTGTAGGTTTTCATGCCATGTACTTTTGTGGCAGTGTTGTATATATGTATATTTTCTGTATTTTATATATTTGTATACATATAATTTTTTGTAATGAAATGGTGTTTTAACCTTTTATTATGTTGAATTAAATAAAATAAACCTGTATGGCTGCTGTATTCTACAGCTCTGCATAACGACTTGTTCTCTGCGTGGAGTTTTCTTTTCTTTTAACTTCTACTGGTTGTGGGGTAGAGTAGGTAGCTTGGGTCGGTCCTTTGTTTAGTACAGCTTGCGCCTGATTGGCCTTGTTTCAAATACTAACACCCAGCATTTAACCAGCACACCAGCCACTACACCTTGACCATGCGGACAACAAATATCTGCTCTGTGTAGTATTTTCATCTGAGACCGTCCAGATAGGTTAGTTATGTTTCTGTACGTATTGTTATAATGTACTTGCATCTATTTGTGTAATCATCTGAAGTATTACACAGTCTTAATACATATTTAGATAGGTCATTACATATAGTCATATAATTGTAGCCATGTAAATGTTTTAACTAGGTTAGCACTGAATATCGTCACCTTTCCTAAATGTTTCATTTGAGAATGAGTGAGCGAGTGGGTATGTATTTATGATGTATGTGTTTGCTTATTACAATGTTATTTATGTATAATGTAAAGCATTCATTGGTATGTTATGTGTAACACATAATTCATGTTTTCTAAGGTAACCCGTTTTACCTAAGTAAGTATATTTGTCTTTGTATTTGTATTTAGATGCAGACACCATAAGTCCTGTCAGTTGTGTTGGTGAACGCAGTTCCCGCCCCAGTTTCAACTACAGGGTATGCTTGTATTTTCTTGTGTATTAATGAAATTAATTAATTGTATTTATCATATTATTACACATGTATAGGGATACAGTGTATATATAGTTATTGTAAGTTATAACACATCCTTCAATGTATTTGTTGAAAGCAAGAGTTCTATCTATTTCTATGATGTCGTCGGTGTGACGATGTGAATGAATATAATGTGATGTGCTCTTATATATCTACACTGTATGTTTGTGTATATTAACAAACATATATTTACGTGTATATTTATCTTTGATTTTAATATGTTTCAGGGCGTTTGTTCTGATAATAAATCCTCACGACAAATAACGACCTGTGTTATTCATGAACACCCCCGGTTACACTTTCTCAAACATCAACACAGCTTTACACAAAGAAAAAAGTTAAACACACCCCTATTTCTGAACCATGACAAATGGCATAAATCATGGTATGGGATGTGACTGACCACGGAAGCTGGGCGATACCAATGCCATCGGATAGAACAAACATTTGACAACAAATGAAGATATTGGTGAGTTGTGATTGAAATTTACTGACAAAAACATCATAGTAACACAGGTACTGTTTTTGACCTTAGACCTAAAAAAAGTATGGACCTGCAGGATTAAGTACACGAGTTACGTTTGATGTTTCATGTGAAAATGTTCCTTAAAGTCTCTACTTGACATGACACGTGAAACAGATCAGTAGCGGGTATAACCGCCATGTGCCCGGATGACGCATTCCACCCCACGTCTCATACTTCCAGTCAGACGTTGGATCTGTGGATGGGTCAACAACCACTCCTGATGCAATGCTGCTTCCATTTGGCGTAAATCTTGTACAGGAGGATCTCGTGCATGTATGCGCCGCCCCAGAATATCCCAAACATGTTCAAGGGAGTTCAAATCATGGCTCATTGCTGGCCAGGGTAGAGTCGTTATTGCATTGGCCCTCATGTTATCCACGACTGCATGCGAACGATGAGGCCTGGCATTGTCATCCATGTACTGAGGTCGAGTAGCAAGGTTGTCCAAATGAGGTACGACGACTGGGCTCAAAACGTCCCGGATGTACTGAGCCCCTGTTAAGTTGAGGGGCCTGAAGTTAGCAGCGGGTTCGTTATTCGTTTTTCGAATAACGAAAATCAAGCCAGCACTGGGTTCATGAATCAAAGGCTGTATATTAAACAACTACAGTAATGTGGTCAAATATACTGAAACTAATTTAATATATGACAGTAGCTTCGTCTTACATCATCATCCAAAAGCTGTTTAGTTATTCAGTACTTTTGAATAACGAAAAACAAACCAGCACCGGGTTCGTTATTCAAAGGATGTATATTAAACAACTACAGTAATGTGGTTAAATACACAGAAACTCATTTAATATATCACAGCAGGTTCGTCTTACATCGTCCAAAAACTGTTTCGTTATTCAGTACTTTTGTGAATCTTGTGGCTTTTGATAATCGTCTTCGTGCCATGGTCACACAATGTCATGGAATAACTGTTTAAAACCGAGCTTAAGAAAGTTATAACGTTAGGATATACTGCTTTTAGAGATACTCGAGGGATACCATACATGGCACGTGAGCTTTCGTCACGCATGACTGATTACATCATCTCGAGAAAACAATTCTTCCCGCAATTATATCTTTCTTGACTGTTACAAATATTGGGTCCAAACAATAATGAAAATTAATATATTAGGGTGTGCTTAACTTTTTTCTTTGTGTATATATGAATAATATTGAATCCTATTTCGGAACACAGAATATTAAAATGTAACAAAGATTATTTTAAAGAAGCGACATACTAATACAGATGGACGGTGGATTGAATAAAATAATATGATTCTTTCCGAGGGAGGGACATGTGCAGGCGGCGGGAGATGAGAAACACAAATTAGGCAAGGACGTCCTTAGAAGATGTATGTCAATACATTGCAAACGTTAAGGACTTAAGGAAACTCCATTTCCATTGTGCTTGATCATGGCATAAGTAATAAATTACAACAAATGGTAAATCAGTGGAGGATCCAGCATTTTGGAAAGGTGTGTGTTGATATAATACCCAAGTGACAACGTGACTTACCCGAAGGCACAGTTTACATGTAAGGAACAGAAGGAAATCTGCTTGTTTTATTGCTCGGTGTCCTCGTACATGTTCCACCGTTGAAGCTCTTGTCAAGAATGTCAGTGACCAAACCCATCTTCCTAAGCGGCAAGAGAGCGACAAGTTCATAATTAACCCCAGAAAGAGAACCAGAGAAGAATTTACGACTATTCCTAGTCTTTAAAAGCTGGCGCCTGTTCCCCAAGAAGTTGTTCCTTACATCCCATCCCACCATAGCATCGACATCAACTGTATGTTATACATTGTGAGGTTGTGAAGAACACATTTCCAACAGTTTACACCATGGTGCCAGACGCCAACAGACCTATGAGAGACTTTTCACTTATGTAAAGCAGCTAGTGCTTGATAAGACAGGACACGTACTTGTCCCCAGCGTACAGACTGACTTTGAAGTTGCTTCAGTGCGTGCTATCGAGACTTCAATGACCAAGGCTCTGTATGAGGACGTCCAGTGTTCAGCTGAAGACAACAACTGCATGAACTCACCTTTCAACATCATCAGCGGTGTAAAACAGGGATGCCCTATCTCGCCAGCCATGTTCTCCTTATACATTAATGATCGAGCAGATGACATTAACTCTCTCAGCTGTGGTATGTGGATAATATTTCATTTTAACTTCAATTTTTCGCACATTATATTGTTCTTTTATCACCACGCGAACAATCATTACAAAACATGTTGGCTATAGTAAACGAATGGTTTTAGGAATAAAACTAATCTCGTACAACTACAAAGTTCCATTGTGGATTGCGATAAATGGAGTTCGCCTTTAAGTACAAGTACCTTTGGTTTCTTTTATATATGAAAACTTGGACTTTACCACTAAAGAAATCGCAGTCAGTGGAGCCTTGTCGCAAGTTCAGGCAAAGAGTATTGAGGCAAAGGATTGAAATATTTTGATTTAACTCAAAACTGTCAACACAGAAGAGAACTCAACATGACATTGTTTCAGAATTGTCCAAACATGGAAGTTATCTCCCTTGCTTCCCGCGACTTGAAAGTGGACGCAACACATTTCTCATATCAAAGAAAGATGTGCTGTGACAGAGGACCAATTGTGGTTTCACGAATTATGGGATGATAGGAATTTACCACATGGCACTAAACATCGAACGTACAGAACGTTGAAGCACGACAGAAGGCAGGGACATATTGACGGTTTGCAAAGTCCAGAGATAAGAGAAAGATACCTACTAAAGTTTGATGTGGCGACAGAAACAGGTCGTTATACATGGTGGGTCACGCCTTTAGATGCTCCACTATGCTATGCTTGCAATACCCTAGAAAACGAAATTCACTACTTACCATCAGAATGTCTAATGTATGACGATAATAGATATCAACATTTCAAGAGTCAGTCTTGACCAATCAAAGTCACAGACTTCATATCAACAGAAACAGTTTATTATGCTGTAACACGATATTCAAAACACTTTAGCAGACACTTCATTAGCTGTGGATGAATTTAATCAAACAGCGAAATGTTTATCGCGAAATATTAGGATTTTGTATTTAGATTAGATAAGTCTGCAATACCAGATATTTTCTTATTTAAAACTCTGACCCAGAAGTTTGTTTTAAGATTAGAAAATCACCTTGCAACAATCTTAACAATTTCTTTTTTGATCAATAGTCTGAAGCATAATTACTTTTTTCAAGATTTTTCGGGGTAATTGTCCATAAAATCCCACACTCAATCATCCATGCACAAACTACTGAACATATGGGAACAGAGAAAATATTTGATAATCAAACTAAATGACATTTAGTCTATCACATCTTTTAACCTTCAAAACAGTTGTTGTGAATGAGTGAGCTGGGTTTAGTTCCCGGTTTTAAGAGTGCTTGTTGTCACGTGTCAGCTTCATGCTGGATAAAGACCAACGTGACCATGGCCATAGTTGTTTATAACCTTGGTGAAACTGAGTATTATGGTGGCCGAGAGGGGACATCGCTTTTTCGCCTTCAACTACGGCCACGAGAAAGCCATAAGGCGATACCATGAGACGAGAAAGTGATAGAGCGAGAAAGCGATTGAACGAGTCGAGAAAGCGATAAAGCCATAGATCGATACGGGAAAGCGAGAAAGCGATAGAACGATACGAGAAAGCGATAACACGAGACAGAATGGTATCGCTTTCTCGCCTTATACAACTCTGATTGGTGCAAACATTTTCCTGTAATGCTGTATTCCGAGGTAGGAACGGGGTCAAACCCTTCAGGCGATGGAGTGTATCCGTGAGCGTAACGTCACGCTTGAGTAAATTGACGGATAGAGACGGAAACACACAATGTCCTCATGAATGAATGAATGAATGAATAAGAAGCCAGCTGTGTTGTCAGTTGAGATTAACTGGTGTGGTTGTGGTAAACCTCACTTATTGTGTGACACCGTGAGCCTATGGCACATATCGTTGATCATCATTTTACTGACTAGACTACTTAGAGTCCATTGTAATATATCTGGAACAAGGCTGAGTGCGTAGAAAAACAGCCTTCACTCCGTCAATTAGTAGTTTGGGAAATTCTGTATTACTGTTGTTCTGCTAATCCTCGTTACTAAGAATCCCCTCCACACGAGTGTCGCTCCACTCCATGTACACCCATGGACCGAAAGGGTTATGTATAGAACGTAAATATTGTTTGATTTTATAACTTCTCTCAGTAGATCTACATATTAATCACCCGCAGTATAAATGTTTGTTTGTTGTTTAACGTCACACTCAGCAATATTCCAGCTGAAATACGATGATATGCATCAACAAAAACAGCGAGCCTGACCACCCGATGGGATGCTTAATGTGAACGTAACCGGATGTTTTTTTCACCCTCGACCTTTGCGACAAATGCTGAAGATTTAAAACCCGAGGACAAGTTATAATTTTCCACGTATTATCTGGAACAATTTACTCCCTGAATATATTTTCGGTCCCTTACAACACCTACCCATATACTGTAATTCTGAAAAGTTTTCAGACATTAAATTACAGCGAGTGGCTAACAATAGCCTTAACTGCGCCTGGAAGGTTTTGCGACACCCTGATATGATTGACAAATATCAAAGCTACTTTTACAGGTCGCGGAGTCCGTGGATGACCGCGTGTCGGCAGCTTGGTTCCTGAGAGTTTCTAGGGCTTCGGTCTTGCCCCACACTGAAACACATTTAACACATGTTGTGTCTCCTTGGGCAAGTGACTTTGTTCGTGCCTCTGACGGTTGTTAACCTTCCAGCGCCTATCAGGCAGCTTGCGTTGTAAACTCCCCAGGGAGCTGAGAATGATTGTTTAGTGCACACTGATCCAGTAACCGGGGTAATAAGATTGCTTTGAGCTGCCCCATTGTGGTGTGGAAATAGGCGCAATATAAATGACCTATTATTGTTATAAATTTATTTCATAAGGAGGAAGCGGTTTTTAAACTATAGATACATGTGTTGTTGTAGTTGACAAGGGAGGTTGGAGCGGCATGTTTATCTGACAGAATAGACAGGCTGGCGTATGTCTGGACTACTCGGTGTTATGTCAACAACTTGACGAGATGTGGCAGGTTGGTAGACTATGAATATTCACACACAGGCCAGTTAACAAGCGTATGCCATGGCTATTAAAAATATATTTCAATGATGTAAACAACTTGGAAATTCATAGTGCCAAACAGCTGTTTGCGGCGCATATATTAAGTGTAACAAACGGATGACGTTTGACGTCATCGGACCCATCCCTGGGGGCGTTAATACGGAAGTTTACACAAAATGTAAATCCTGAAAGCGGAGTACGTCCTACAAGGGAAGACGTTTGATATATGCGTGCTTAAAACCGTGAATGATATGCATTCTTTAACATAACTTTCTCATTTAGGACCTACAGTACCAGTATATAAAGCTTTACTATCTCAGTCAAAACACCACATCTTGATATTCACCGGACAGAATAGAGGTAAGTGTTTCAGTGAAGTAATTTCATGCAAACGTCTTCGCGTGTCTCCTAATTATTGATAAGTACCGAGCAATTAAGATTTGACTGATACTACAATAGGGCCTAGCTTGAAATCAAACAACTCGCCTGTCTCTATCACATATACCTACAGAGCGGAAAAAGTGTTCAGCGATCATTCAGTTGAGAATGTCCTTAAGTTATAAACCTACTGTCACTTTTGCTTATTGTATTGTCGGTATCTTCCTATCTCGTAATAACCTCTTGGGAGGTTTTACTTTTTCATAGTAAGACTCATCCCGGGTATGAGGTTTTACATTTTCCTTGTAAGACCTGATGAGTTAAGAAGTAGATGAAATTAGTACTTGGTGTTTCAAACGTCCAATGTTCTAAAACCGAAGACAAGAAATAAAAGTTTTCATAATGGAACCTCACATATCGTGTCTAGTTTGGTAACCCACTGTTTTCCCACTGAGCCACCGGGGCAGGTGATGAAAAGTTGTTCAACTTTAATTGTCACGACTTCTGTTTGTGCTGCATGATGCACGTGTTCTCTTTCTCGCACGCTTTGATCGAATTCCCTTGATACCACGACATCCTGTATTGTTTCACTAAAATGTATCCCGATGATTCTTATTCCCCCCCCCCCCCCCCCCCCCCCCCCCGTATTTCTTGCGTTTAGACGGTTCATAAGTTGGATAAAACACTCCTCCTCTGTTTTTTGGTTCGCAATTTCTCGGGCAGTGACTGCTTTCGCCAACAGTCGTATACATGAACAGGCTTTACAACTGTCTCGTAATAACGCGCCATGTAAATTGGATTTTTTGTTTGAATTAAACTCTTTTGACGGTTTATAAGCAAGAGAAAACACTACCCTCTCGGTTTTGGTTGGAAATGTAAAATCCCTCTCCCATTGAGTTTACATTTTCAACCAAAACCACGGAGGCGTATTTTCTCCTACAAATAGAGACTTCGTGAAAATTGCCAAGAACACGAAACCGCCAACCAGTTATGACCACCTGAATGATGAATGCACATTCGATTAGTCATGGTTTCATTTGGGACATTGTGATAAATTAACTCACAATCTTCTTCCAACAAAAAATGAAGAGAAAGCTTTTAATAGTCCTGACTAATGCCAAGTTTCTACAGCTAGCCCACTGAGATACCATGCTGCAGTTTAACACGAATCCACTCACATACAGCATACTGACTCCGAGCCGATCAGTAGTTGTTTTAGCCCCCCAATGCCGAGCGCCAGGCAGGGTTACATCAAGTACATGTACCACCTTTTAACGTTGTTTTTTTGACGCGGCCGGGGAATTACATTCAGTTATGGTTTTGTTGCAGTTTTCCTCAAATTCCATTTGCCAGATATTGGAACATATCTATTAATTATACCTACAAGACAGGTGAATTATCAATAACACAATAACGTTGACTGATGGCCCAAAAATACGAATGGAATTTAGTCAAATGTCACCTATCTCAGTCTTTTATTAAGTAGCATTGCTGATCATATATTATAGAAGTGAACTCAGTTTAATTTGATTTTTTCAAGATAGACAAATAATTGCTGGAAAATATACTAATTAATAACAAAAATAGTTAAACGAATTAACACGAATTAATTGGAAAATCAATGGCCATAGCTTACATGTTTACCAACTACTAGCATCCAGGAAATGACGTGGGGAGTGCATGTTAATAACGATTATAACCAAGGTGAAACCGACAACCGTCTGTCCTCTTCAGATTTGTTCTGGATTTGGGTCCCGTAGGTAGCTCTTTTGGATCCGGAGCCACTACTCTTGCAGAGCTGAAAGGTGTCAGTTCACATTATGAGGCGCTACAGGACGTTGTCCACCCTACAAATACCCAAAGGCAGCTTTTGTCAAAACATTTAGCTCGCCAAGGCAATACCCAGATGATCCCATTTCTTACAAAACTCATTTACAAACACCTTGTGTGTGAGTTGGCGGGTATTTTTCTGTTTCAATTCTACACGTAAAGGGTACCACGACTGAAGTGAAAATCCCATCACGATAACGAACGCCTTGTTCTCGGGAGTCGACCATCAGGACATATTGGGTCTGTCCTCCCGCTGCAGCTGATGCCAGCACACACCATCACAAAGCCATCACAGACACGGCCTTGACGTGCTATGGTACACAGCTGGTAGCGCTTATGGACACGTCTCTAAACACTACTCTGATCTATCAAGTCGAGAATGAACCACAATATAACTGTCTGACGCCCTGTCCACTCAATTCTTAAAAGTTTGTAATTGACAGTGATCTTAATGGCCAAAGACATGTTCGTCCTGCTGCTTGGAACCGATCGGAAAACTTTACGCCCACGTAATCTCCTGTGCGCGATTGTCCTAGACTAAGTTTGTAGATTCATTAAATGAATTCATTAAATGAATCTACACCCATCCCATGATTACCTATAAATGACGGTGAATGACTCAATAACTTACAGGCAGCCGTCATTTCGCTGGATTATTGCTAAGTGCATTAAACAACAAACAAACAAAGTTATAGTTCTGCACACTGAAGTCGTCTTGTCATATTTTGTTCCCAGAACAATACTGTGAATCGATTATTTATAGTTTGAAATATGCCTGACTGCGGCGTTATACAGCATACATGTTATCTGTTCAGTAACAGGCGACTATGCTTGTCGTAAGAGGCGACTAACGGGATCGGGTGGTCAGGCTCGCTGACTTGGTTGATGCATGTCATCGATCCCAATCACTGGATTGTCTGGTCCAGACTCGATTATTTAACAGACCGCCGTCATATAGCTGGACTATTGCTGAGTGCAGCTTTATCTTCATGGAGAAGTATATGCCTGGGATATTTACTCATTGCTTGGACTACTGGAATGTAACGATTCTCCATGCATTGAAAGTGAACATTGGACCATTTGTACTTACACGCCCTGCTGAAATCAACGGCCAAACATACTGTCCAAGGGCGTAAGTGTCGGCCCTCGGATGGTAGCTCAGGGGGATGACGGAAGACAAAACTCAGGGGTGAAGTTAAGACGACAACAGCCATGTTTATTGGTGCAGGTTGAAATGAGTCGAAACGGTACATGTTCATAATAACGTGACAGAATGCACACCGGGACCGAGTGGCCAATGTTCCCGGTTGGAGACTCGCTCTGTCACTTACCTTCTGGCTGCCTCCCTGACTGACAATGTCAGTCGGGTTTTGTAGAGCGAGGTATTACGTAACGTGTGGCAAGGTCATTGTCCGACGTGTATGTATATACGTAAGATCCGGCGACGTAAGGAGGTGTTAATTGGAATTTATAGATAGCGCTTGAGATTAAGGGTCCTGCCCGGAGGGGTTTATGATAAGAGGGGATACGCCGAATGTTTGCTGAATATATTAAACAGACAAAGAATTTCGGTGCACTTGGAAACATATTGAACCAGTTAGGCATTTAGATAAATGAAATGTTAAAAAAGTTTTGAAATGGTTTGCACTATTTTAAATAAAAGTATTGAAATGGTTTGCACTATAACAATACGTTCAAGTATTATAAACATGATGTTCACACGACAGCTAAGAAGACGTCACTTTATTATTGTTACATGTACAAATGAACTTACTGACGGTTTATGCAACATTATGTATACGTTGTTATCGACTGTGGAGTCAATGTCATTCTTTTACTTACCATCACGTGCATTAAAATGACCAATCGTTTACTTTATTCTTAGTGTGTGACATCAAGCCCCAAATCATGCAAGTCTTCAGCGCTGTTGCTGTCTGTGTCCTCCTGTTTGGATGTTGTGCGGGAGTTCAGGTATGTCGGCAATATTGTCAACAGTTTACACTTGTATTACTGTGTTAGTCGCGGATCCCTCCTCATTTATACAATAATTTACTTATACGTATCTTTAACATTTCGGATTCTCAGCACTTGTACTATTATTACACTTGTATTATAACATGTTTATATTTGTATGCCATATACAGTCATGCTAGTACGTTGTTTCCTCCTGACCTTGCCCTTAACAGCTTCTTCGATGGTAGCCTATTCAATTACATTTTTTAATTTGTTTGAAGTAAGCGAACGCTTAAAACAAATGTTTGCAACTTCCACAGTGTATTGTTTGATGCGTATATGTAAATATAATGTCATGTGTTTGTAGGGGTACCATGTCGTAGGGAAGTTTGGAGACCAGATCATCCCCATCGACGTCACATTCGGCACTGATATAATGGAAGTGACAGCACACAAACCTGCCAATGCTCTCGACAGCTTCAGAGAAACAACCAACCTGCACGTGTTCTCAACGGTGAAGAACATTTCCCAATCATGAATTAATCCAAATCTTAAATTAAATACAACTTAATTATCTGATCAGTTTAAACGGGAATATAAATGCGGTTTAAACGGAATCCGGAATCCGCCGTAAAACTCTTAGGGGATATAAATGCGTAGACTTAGACTGATCAGATTAAATTGAAAGGGTAATGTTTTAAACAAAGGCTTACATGAACACGTAGACTCGTACTATCACTGTACGACTATGTTTTACAACAATGTATTCATGCACAGGTACACCGTGTCCATATTTGGTCAAGCTATTTTCACATTATGTATTCGTTTGGCCATTGTTCAACGCAATGTGAATGTATGATGACGGTTACAATGAGTGAGTTAAAAATTAACGTCGCGTCGGCATTATTTCAGCCATATAGCGTTTTGTTACATCCCATTACACATCATAATAATTTTCACAATAATTGTTCACTTTCTATATTTAGCTAGAAGTATAATACTTCTCGCATTGATGACATATATATTTTTTTTGTTTTTAAGAAGAATAGTAATAGTCAGTTTCTTGAATGTTTTGGGGCGGTCGGGTAGCCTAGTGGTAAAGCGTTCGCTCTCCACGCTGAAGACCCGGGTTCGATTCCCGACATGGGTACAATGTGTGAAGCCCATTTCTGGTGTCCCCTGCCGTGATATTGCTGGAATATTGCTAAAAGCGGCGTAAGATCTCACTCACTCACACTTGAATGTTTTGGCCTCATGTTTCGAAAGGATTCTGCCGTTCGTTTGAGTTGTGTTTCCAGAAGCAATAACTGTTTAAAATACCGTGACATATTATGTGAAAACAATACCAATCTTGCCCCTGGAATACCTGGCAAATATTCATACTTATTTATTTTGAAACTCACCTTACAGAGTTTTGTAGCCATAAGGAATGCAGTCGATCAACAGTGCTACATTCAACGATTCAACGCCACTATGACAGACATGAAGCGGCGCATAGAAGAGGCTAAACGTGTGAGTTTGGAATTAGTTGTCTACTAGGTTTAAAACAAGGTTTGTTGCATATGATACATTGTCACGATAATTCAATGATACAACGAATTTCTTATTGTTTGCATTTAATGGCGCACGTCAGATGGCCTTGATGACATCTGAGTATAAAGATATCTGTCTTGATAGTATCGTATTTGACAAATGCACCATATGATAGTACTTGAACGGGGTACTACATGGTTAATATATACCGCAACGTATCCCTACAGTAAGGAAGATGCTCATTCTCCCACTGGTTTACCTATGCCAGTCCTGCCTTGTCTAGTATGACATGAATAACCACACACCCATACTTTGTTCATTAGGCTCATGATGTGCTGGACGGTGTTAAAGAGGAATGGCTCAGAGTAGATAAACTGTCACCACTGAAGACTTGGACAGTAAAACTCCTCTTTGGACCACACATAGCTGACTTCTGTCTCCATCACGAAGTGTTCCTAGTGGACAGCAAATATTCCGGACTGGTTGATGCAAAACGTATGTAGAACCGATAATCTTAGCCTACTATCACATCACACACGTTAAATTATGGATAACACTTTCTTAGTAAAGTGTGTGTGTGTGTGTGTGTGTGTGTGTGTGTGTGTGTGTGTGTGTGTGTGTGTGTGTGTGTGTGTGCGTGCGCGTGCGTGTTGAACAACCATCTTGGAGTTAACTGATGGTAAGCGGGCACATTTTGAGTCATAAAATATATATTTATTATGCCTCAAAGTGAGATTGACCAATCAGACAGAACTACTCACCCCACATGAGCATATACCGTCAGTAAAAATCCAAGATGCTTGTGACTGACCTGATATGGGACCGTATTTTAATATCATTAAATGTGATGAGCAAAGACATTATTTATTAAAGAAACCTCGTTCGTGACTTTATTTATGTAAATTATAGAGAAAAAAGCTTACAACGGAGGTCAATGAGTTACAAATAGCAACGTCATAGAACCTACTATAGGATGACGTCACGAACAAGAAACGACGCCAATGACGTCACATAGCAATAGAATAGATAGCAGCCTGTCGTTAGGGGAAATCGGACTGCTATCCAGTTACAGTGGTATACAGTGAGGTATACTTCTCCTCATTACGAAAATGGGGTTACAGGAAGGACACCCCACCCCCACCCCTCCAAACACACCATGTCTTCATAGACAAGACAAGCATAAGAGCATTCCTCTTCTTATTATTACATGTGAACATTTCAGCCGCTCTTGGGTATCTGGCTGCAGGACTCCAGTTTGTTCGTTGCACATTCCCCCCCAAAATGTTCAGTTGCCTAGTATAAAGTTCACCTCTGGATTTGGTGCCACCTTTTCCTGCATAATTTCCCTGATGATGATCAATATGTCACAAACATTTCCTGGGCCTAAACAGGAGGTGTACATGGCATGATCAATGTTTAAGCACAGTGTGTTTTAAAAAAAGAAAGAAGCTGCAGTGTTGAAATACAGACACTACTTAAAGCACCCCAATTTACATGGGTCTGATCGATTGGAGATAAACAGGGACAAATACGATTTGTCCTCGGTACACATTGTGTACTTGAACATGCTAGACTCGAGTGATGAGCTATAAATGAAAGCTATCATATGCTGTCACTACACAGTTAATTGATATTACTCTATTTCAGATGTCAACCCCAACATGCGCCACAAGAGAGGATTTTTCTTTAAGTGGAGGCCAATAAGAAAGTGCATTTCGCAGTTTGCCAGACGAGTCACAAGTGGCGTCGTGTTTGATCCGTGTAACACTGACGTTACAGTAGTTTGTTAGAGAAACTGTTTGCTTCTCAGCAATGAGACAAGAACCACTGTCGTCAACTTGCTGTTTTCTGATTCATTCGTTACAGGAAGTAACAGCATTCATGTAAATGCCACATAAAGTTATACAAACACCACAAGATAAGGACATTGTGGTCAATAAATCCGTGTTTTCGTATGCTACGTTCATTTGTAATTGTCCCAGAAAAGTGTAAATGTGTTTCATAATATCACTGCTAAACCACGGTGGTCGGTTCCAGACAAACCATAACGCCAGTTCTGCACAAGCTGTCGTCTGCATGGTCTCCCCTAGATTCTTGTTATAATATCTTTTGAAAGGCGTTGAATAAACATTAAAAATGTAATGCAGGTTCGAAATTGGGCGTAGATTTCGAAAATCTACACAAATTGTTGCAAAGCAACGGCATGATCTGTAGCTTTTTCCCCAATGTGTGAAGGCCATTGATGGTATCCCAAGTCGTGATATAGCTGGAATATTGTTAATAAAGGCGGCCTGAACCTCCACTGACACACCCACTAAACATTTCCAATCCTTCTTCTACCCATTGAATAGCAGGGACACATTTTAATGACCTACCAAATCACTTTCTGAATTACCAGTCCTTACCACTGGGATCGTCTTCAGTTGTTGCAATGTAATTGGAAGGTTTGGAAGAAAGAAAGCGGGATTTGCAACATAGAAATTGTGATTGGTGAAGAGAACTACGCTAAGTTAACGTACGCTTAAAGCCGGTAATGGTGGTGCTCAACGACCATGACAGTCGCATGAATATAACAGAAACACTGTAATTCTACGGCAGGGCAGGATATGCCTACCCTTTTCGCGAGCACCTGGTGTCATCACTGATTTTCAGAGGTCCATTCATATAATTTCCACAGCTATTTGCCCTTTACGCCAAGTTGAATCTGTTTGGGCAGAAAATCTAGGCTGGATATTACCTTGCATTGACAATTTTATTATTGTATTTTATATTGTAAATAAAAGTGACAAAACCCTTCCATCATTATCTCTACTAAAATCAGTCTATTGTACAATTCCGACGATGTCATAAGCAAGTGTCTAAGAATCACTAGTAAATAGTTGTGCTACCAGATGTTCGCGTAGAGGTGAGCGTATCCTGCCCCATCAGTTGAACCCACCTTTAACACATCAAACGTAAGTCAAGTGATCACCTGAACAAACAAGGGAACATATGGTACAAGATAAACTAAGGAATTTTGCATAGGATGTTATTTCCGTCACTGATGCATCAAATTTGTATCGCCTTGTCTAACAGTCTCGTAGAGAGATTTCTGTCACTGAATCTTTGAAAATTGATCTAAATATTAAACACATGTGGCGTTTTCATTGGTATCCTTTCTTTCTAGTTCAGGAGGGTAAATCAATGGAAGGGAATAGGCTATTTGACAATTACTGAACGACTTCAGACCATCCATATATACCTAAAGCTTGTGTTAAATTCTCATAATTTGAATTTGCCAATCCGATCAGAAATTCAGATTCATGTATTTAAAGAAACAGATCAGCAAGGAAGGGAGGACAACACTGCTTGTCAAAATGTCCTATCCCCAGATTTGACATGTGGGTTTCTATGAGGAAGTCCAGCATTTCACATATTGGCTTCTCATTAAACTTCAGACGACATTTGCTTTCATTTTTGACACATATTCCTGCACCTTTGTAGATAGAGAAGTAACTATATCATTGGTCATCAGGTTTAGTGACAAATACCCCATAGATCAAGAAATGAACATTTGCCTTGAGTTCGTTGTGTGGGATAGTGGTGTGTCGCCTGAATAATTAAAAAAATTCACAAAATTCAACTTGGTTCTTGTCTGATACTAGTATTCAAGGAAATCATATGAGATTTTTAGAATCCACATGGTATTCATTTGACTTGTTTCAAATACTTTCTTTGAATATATAAACAGGCCTTTCTAGATTAACAATGGTTAATCAGGGATTACATTTAGCTTGGCCCGGCAATGTATATCTCTTTGTAAAGATCTTTATAGAGTTTTGGAATCCAGTACAAAAGAGCGCTGAACATATTTTCACGTTTTAGAGTTAAGCCATATTTGATAGCAGTGACAGGTGATAGTTTGGCAGATTCCTTCTTCTGTTAACATACCGGCCTTATATGTGGCAATATTTGACATGTCACTGAAACAATGTATGTACCCACTACACACACTCGCACATAATATGTATCAACGTTGGATAGCCACATTTGACAAATTAAAACATCACAAATGATTCATATCAATTTGTAAAGGATTGAGCAGGCATTCCTAATATGGGAGACCATGATCAACCCTGAGACACGCAGAATGTGTTTAACCAAATATAATGGCATAGTAGTATATCTGCACAATTTCATCACACTTGGCCTGCATGTCGTGGTCTGAGGTAGCATTATACCCATGCACGTGAGTGTCACCAAGTATAAAAATGTCTACGATCCTGATATGACCGAAATACTGTTCAAATACACATACATATACACATACAGTGCACACATGCACGATGAAATCACATGGACACAAAGACACATTCCTTGGACAACTATGTGGCTAGCATCTGTGTCGTGGAGGGGCGGTCGGGTAGCCTACTGGTTGAAGCGTTCGAAGACCCGGGTTCGATTCCCGACATGGGTACAATGAGTGAAGGCCATTTCTGGTGTCCCCCGACGTGATATTGATGGAATATTGCTAAAAGCGGCGTAAAACCATACTCACTCACCCTGTTTTGTGGACTTCGGCCTTGGCGTGTCGTGCGAACGCTTTAACTTTAACACTCCTACCCCTAACTGGACCGTTATCCTTTATCGTAAGGAGCTGTTCGGACATAGGCGTCAACATTAAACCTATATGACCATCTGTTTAAAACAGCACAGCTTCCACGAGTGAATCATATCTTTAGCTTAAATGGTTACATATACTTCAGAGACATTAAGCCCTTTCATGTTGTTGACTTGATGAATTGAGGTAAACTGTTTTTTTTCTTATGAATGTAGTACGTAAGGAAACAACGCCACTTGTGTGTCTTATCTTTTCACATGGATGAGTGCACCGAGACGTATTTTTCTGATGAATACGTTACTCTATCTGTAAACTACGACGTAGAATGTTTTAGAGGGAACGAAACGGAACTAACAGAAAATAGCAACCCGGAACTAAGTAAATAAACTAGGTCGTGACAAATGTAGCCATTGGCAAACATATGTGAGAATGTGGTATATCTCTTGTTTTCGTTCTTCAATTATATTTAGTTCGCACTGTATATCCGTGTTAGCATCAGATAACCTACATACATCCAATGCAGTGGACGAGGGCTGGTACATTCTCTCTGTGGGTTTAGGCATGCCCGTTAGTATGTTTCAGAGGTAGTTTTGGTTATAACGGGCGTTTCAACGTGTATCTCAAGAGCGATAGCTGTTTATATAAACGTATGTTTTTAAAAACAAGGGTTGTATTGAAAAAGCTATCGAACGCGGACACGTATATATAATAAATTTATGCGTATTGCCCACGTGGAATAGCTCACTGGATATTTAAGTAAGACACTAACGGACAATGTTGATGATGTATCTCGTGATTTAAATGTTTACTTCTGACAAATCTTACATTCCTAGAACTACTGCGCAATGAGCTGAGAAAACATTGCCATAAATCTGAAAGTCCTGACTTTCTGTAAACTAGATAATTTGTTACACTGTCCGATGTAGGTCGATGGACCCGGAGACTGAATCAATCGGAATTATCAAAGCCACACTAGTAGTTTTCTCAGTCGAATGGAGGCTAATCTCATAAGGTCATGGTGATATGGAGATTGCGTCCTGTTTTCAGCTAAACAACCCTGAAGAGGTCATAGAATTACGGCGACTTATCAGAGGTGACATCATCAGCTGTTAGTCAAGTCATTTTTTTTCAGTCAAGATTTTAGAAGAATAGATTGCCAAATCAAAGAATCGTGTTTAAATTATCATGGTTAAATAAAAACAAATCCTAATCCATGGAGCCCGCATCCTTTTACGTATGTCTGGTCGGATAAGACATAAATGTATTTAGAAATACACACGTGATTTCAATAATCATTTGAACGATATTCCGAATGTTATGTCGCTATCGCCTACAATACAATACTAGTGTTAATATAAATGATTCAAATGTTGTTAAATATTCAAAGCTAAGAAACTACATTTGATAATCACATTTGAAAATTATACTGTACACGCAAAATCAAACAACACTACTTTAACATATAATACTAACGGAAAAAAGTAAAAAAGAAGTTTCAAACAAAGTGGTGTAAAGGTTATGTTTATTGAAAATAACAACATAATATTTGGTCCATGTTTTATCATGGCAATCTCATTGACAAAACCCATACCTGGTAACAGGAACGGGAGAGACAGGCCCTAAAAGAGCGGGGTGTAACAACTCAGTTAACAGTGTAAATATCGGGTGTGACCACCGTTAATGTTGATACAGCCAAGGCAGCGGCGGCGCTTTGAAGACACCGGTTGATTGAAAACAGCCTTGGGGATGTTGTTCAAAAGATTGGCCAAGTGAGCTAGCGTTACCGGCTAGTTCTGATCCAATCGTTGGCGCCTTTTCAGCCAATCCCAGACATGTTCTGTGGAGGAGAAATCTGGAGAAATACCAGCAGTGCTGCCTCAAAACGTATGTTACAACACGTGCAACGAGTCGGCCAGCTTTAGCGTGCTGCAATATAGCGTGACGTCTTTCCATTTGCAAAAGAATTCAGCAAGACCTGACATTGCGTAAGCATCATTTACGGTTAACTTAAAGTATTTTGGGACAGTACTGCGTGATATAGCACTGATCCCAAATTTGGTGGTTTATATATAAATTATATAGACAAACTTACCTACGTTCTGGTCCTAGGACTAACAGCAGTAAAGGATTCTTGTCTTTTGAAATTTAAATTCACGAGACAGACAATATGTATTTCAGAACAATAATGGTCATGTGGTTCTATAAGAATATCGTCCACGTGTCACTTAAACTTATATGCCATCAAAATTCGGTGTGTACGCCCTTGTGATACAGTGCAAAACTCAACGAAGAAAGTTGTCCACCTCAACTACAATTTTGCACCAATGATCGCTCCAATGACTTCACTCATGTTTG